TTAAAAGGCTGTTACATTTTAGACTTTAGTCGTAGAAAACTGTCTTAAGCATAAAGACAATACAGACCACAGGTGTGTAAAAATGTTCACACTTTTAAATAAAGTATTATCAGTTCTCCAGCAGGTCTTTGGACTTTAGTGTGTACAGTGCAACAAATCTGATGTACAGTTTTATACCTGTGGGAGAGGATGGGGGTTAATTACTGAACTAACTGACATTATGAGCTAAAAGATTTTATGTGAAGCTTGCTCAATTCAGAATCAGAGCAGCACTCTGGTTTTGTCTGTGAACCACAGAATATTTTTGCTATCAACCAATACTTAGTTTGTTCTATCATATCACACAGAGAAAACCAGTGGAGGTCAATTTTTTAGTCATTTTTTTTCACCATAGTTGTTCATACATTAAAAAATTTTTATAGTTTTGAGCTAAATATTCAGTTTGCAAACTAAATATTTAGTTCCAAACTAAACATAAGTCTGAGCTAAATATTTAGTTTACAAACTATTTAGTTCTAAATTCAATATGTAGCTTAACCAGAAATTTAGTTACAAATTAAATGTTTATTTTCCAAATTAAACATTTTATTTCCAAACAAAACAAGCAATTTTCAAACTAAATAATTATTTTCCAAATTAAATATTTTGCTCTGAACCAATTAGTTAGCCTGCTAAGTAAGTATTCCACAAGCAAGTCAAGTATTTAGCTTACTTGCGAACTAAACATTTAGGTTGCTAGCAAAATATTTAAAGCTAAAGATATTTATTATTAGTTAATTACACGAAGCATTTAAATATAAAGTTTCAGTGTAAAACCTGGGTTTTTTTCATTGTTCTTTAAGAATCTGAATCTTCTCTACGTCTACATTAATTCATGGTGTTTTCAGCGATGGCCTTGTTCTACAAACTGCTGCGCCTGCAGTCAGTGTGAAAGAAAAACCCTTTAGATTCAAACTGGTCATTTTCACATGATGTCATCATGTTGGATCATGTTCCTGTTAATATTAGCACAGAGCTGCACTGCAAACGTTACTCATTCATGGAGCTCAGGTGGCACCATAAAAATTATTTGCATAAAACAGATGCTGCTGTGCTCAAAGATGCACAGCAGCATCTTTGAACGCCTTATTGGAACGTTTCATCTTGTGTCAGCCTCGTCTTCCCTTCATTCTGTTAACTTGAGAAAAAAGCAGTTCTGGCATCTGAAGGCTGAGGTAAGCTTTTTTACTCTGTTGGATTTCTATGAATGCATAAAACATCTTAAAAGTAAAAAGAGATATTTGATACTGCATTGGGTAACACTTTATTTGAACGGGGGTGAATAAGACTGTCATGTTAATTTCATAAACATGACATAACACCTGTCATGAACATGAATAAGCCTTCATGAATATTTATGACTGTTGTCATAAAGTGTCATTCGGTAAATTATGACACTTTTAATACAAAGTTGACATTATTCAAAATGTCTTTGTTATGACAACTTGACATTAACCAAGAAATTATTACTGATATAAATTTGTTGTAAAATTATTACTGACTGCACTTTAAAAATTAGGTAACTTTATATTATTAAAGGTAAAGTTTAAACAGTAATGACACACAAGCACTCTCACAGTTTTTTTGGCCAGGCTGTATATGTGGAGAGAGAGATCTATATAGTAAGAATTTTAAATAAATTTGCTTTGCTTTACCTTTCTTGTGTATGTTTTTATTCCATACACACAGAGCATAAACCATGATCCCAGTTCTGATTTTGCTGCTGCTCCACCAGTCGAGGGCTGATGAAGGTACAAGTGCCAGATTATTATTTCTTTTCATTACTTGTTTAGAAAAAAAGGATCTGGGAACTCAGTTTATCCAGAAGTGCAACATCAGTAACAGGGTAAAAAAAAGTATTTTTTTTTGTGCTGTCTATATACAATAAATGAGTTTGTTTTGCCTTCTGTCCTCAGTGTGTATCAACATTTCTGAGTACAATTTAAACATCACTGTGCCTTCTGGAAGCCTGACTGAGAAGTGGAATCGTGAAGGTGCTTCATGTGAGAACAATGAAGACTGTTTCTTTTGGTGCATACCCACCAATGACACGTGGTTCAATGGATCATATGGCTGCGTAAACTGTTCAGTGGCAAATGAAAGTAACATCACTGTGTATACCATACATGGAAGTAAGTAGGAGAATCTTTCTTGGGAAATGTGTTACTTGTTTTTCAGTTTAACCCGACGTAAAGAGCTGGTTCATAATGTGTGCACATAATGTGTGCAAAAGACTCTGTTTGCACCTGCATGCTAATTTGCATCAGTCTTGGTAAATAACTGATTTATATTGAAACTTTTACCCTTCTCTGCAATTTCACCAGCCCAAACTGTGTAGAATGCATATCATTTTTTATAGTGTTTTCTGTTTGATCTGTCTTTCCTGTCAGACACCGTCTGCTACCTCGCCCACTGCAGGGAAGACTCCATCCTGTCACTTATTCACAGATTGAAAGAAATCAACGACGCCCAGAAGAAAATGAAGGCACTACCGTACATAAAGGATTCATGTCCGAATCTCTTCAGAACCAGTTATGAAATTAAGAAGGTGTATGTAATGTAAGTGCCAGTCTTTTGTTTACTTTTCTTTTCTATTTTTTATTTATTTATTTTCTTGGTAAGCAGAGTAGCCACTAAAGCATCGTCGTTAAAACACTGACTTTCTTTTAGTCTCCTAAATTGACTGTGTGTGTACTGAACAGAACACACCATTCCCTACTGTGAAACATGGTAGTGGCAGCATCATTTCATGGGGATTTAAATCAAGCTTTATTGCAGCAGTAAAATAGCCCAGCAAAAGCCCAGACCAAATCCTAATGTAAAATCTGTGCTAACACTTGAAAAATGTCCATAAAAATTTCTGACTTTGAGCTCTAATAGAAAACAGACTGGACATCTGTTTCTATGCGCTGCGCCATGTTATTCTGTCACATAAATCCCCAAAACCTACACCTGACAGAGGGGTGCATGCAAGGCACTGTATTTGTGACTTTTCAATCATTGCTTGTTTCTATAAAGCAGACATGTTTTGTTTTGTCCCTTCTATAGACTGGAGAAGCAAATAATTCATAAAATTATGAATACGACTGACCTTGAGGGTGGCAGCTCCAAGACCTACAACCTGAAGTACTTGTCTGTGAAAGTTTTCAAAATCAATGACACAGTCCTCAACGTTTCAGAGGACATGATCCCATTGGAAGCTCCTCAGGTACAACATTTGTAAATATGTTGAGGTATGAAAGGTGTAGTCATGGTGTGATCTGCAGAGGAAGTACATTATCATATTTCTCCATACCACCGAACACTTTGAGAAATACTGCATGCATACGGTACCTCTCCAAGTACTAACAAGCCTATTTTCTGTTTGTTTGGGGGTTTTTTGTAGCAAATTTACTCATGCTTCAATTTAATAAAAGTCATGATGAAAGTCACCCTGGGTGAATGAAATGCTGGAGAGTTTTGCATTAGTGATTCTGACGGATTTTCCCTGAGGCCTTTCAAACAATCGACTGTCAGGTGTGAAAACAGCCTTAGTATACAGAAGGTTCTCTGGTCACCTGCTGGAGTTTTACAGCACAACAGATAACAAAGTAAACACAGAAAACTTATGTTATGGCCTGAAGTGTCTATGATTTGCATGTTTTCCATTGCTCTGGTACTTATCTCTGACGTCATGGTTGCTATGTTGTTGTACAATGGCACCATAGTCCTAAATTTATATCCTCAATTCTATTAACCTGCAGAAGACCACTTATGATTCAGTAAGTTAAATCCCGAGTGTTGAAGCAGGCAAATATAAAGATCCTTTGATGGGTCTGGAACCCTGGAAACATGGATGACTCCCTTGGTTCTGTTTGCCTCACACTTGTTGGCCTTTTTTCCGCTCAGTTGATGTTCACCTTCCCACAATGCCACAGAAAGCTTCAGTGAGATGATGATAACTCTGCTTAAAGACTTCAGACCTTCTGAGATACATACAGTGACTTGAGAAGTGGGAGAAGCTCTGAGCCTTCACTTCACTCTAACATTCACAATTTTGATCAAAAGTAGTTCTTCTTAAACTAGTCTATCACCTGTGATACTTTCACCTTTTTATCATCCTAAAACTCTTCAGAAAAAATACAGTATAGGTAGTTAGCCTATCAACCTAATCACTGGCAGTATTAAGAGTAGACACACATTCAGGACTTTTTAGGTTTTCAGTAAAGAAACATTTTGTCGTGTTAGGTGATTAAACAGCCGGGACTAGGAAACAGAAAATAGTCATGTCTTATCCCAAAAATGCCAAAGTAGATTACCAAGATAAAATCAAGGAGAAAGGGAGTGAAAATTTTTTATTTAGAAAAAAGACCCCAGAGAGTGTGAGCAAATACAGTAAAACCTACAAACCGGATTGCATATGAATAATAAAAATAATACCTTGGAATGAGAATGTGCAGGATGTGGCTGCTGTAGTTTAGAAATTGTTGTTTCTATCTGGCGTTGCTACATTCATGTTTTCAAGTAGAGTCAGACATGTCTGACAGACAATTTCTATTTATTGCTTCCCTAGAGACAGAAATATAAGTACATCCAACACTTCTGCACAACAATGAGGCATTCCTGGGGTGCCGGGAACACCTCAGATTTGTGGGTTATGTATAGGAATGTGAGAAATGAAGGTTTATCTGCAGGTGGTGAAGTCAGAAGAGAAAGAGGAAGATAGTGAGAGGTTGAGAAACACTGACAATCAGATGTTTTTACATCTGTTTTACAGAGGTTGAACTAAGGATATGTTTATTTTGTTTGGTGTTTTTTATGCTATGGGGTGATTATGAAATATTATGGTGTAATGGAACAGGAAGTTGTACTTTTCCTACATCCCTTTTGCTTCTGTCTGCCATAAAAATACATTTTAATAAGTTTTTTTTTTTTTTTTTTTAAGTCGGCTTCTTTTAGTTTATAAAAAAAATTAAATATGTGTATCTATTTTAAAGTGACTTGACATTATTTTGTGTTTTTATTATTACCAGTTATGGCCCAACAACGGCTCATTTGTCCCTGAGGTTTGGATCCCAGTGAACGCACTGAAAAACATGCCACCAGAGGAGCGAGTTATCGGCCTGGTCAGCTACATGGACCACCGCCACTTCCAGGTTCGACCCGTCCCGTCTGATTTTTATTGAACACTTTCTTCAAACAGTTTTCTGCAACAAATAAACGCTGTGCGCAGAGTGTCACAGTGCTGAGCTTCTCCTCCTTCTTCCTGTTTTGTCTCCCTACTAGTTTGACATGGAGATCTGCTCCATGGTTCTCAGGATAGAGGAGTCAGGCGAGTCTCACCTCCAGAATCTCAAGCCACCAATCAAAATGATTTTCAGGGTTGTGAAACCAGAAACAGTAAGACGCTTGGCTCACATTCACCGAGTCAAGAAAATGTGAGAGAAGGTGACTCTGCATTGTTTGTGTTTTCACAGAATGATTCCCAGTTACTGTGTCGCTACTTTGATGATGTCAAAGGTAGGAGTGTAAACGATTTGACCAAATTTGGCAAGCAAGTATCCAGATACATTCTAAAAATCACAACAGCTACTGGTTGATTAGTAAAAGAATAATCTTTAGCAATAACCACTTATAGACGGTGGTAATCCTGAGTATCTAAAAAACTTAAGCTGAACTTTGGCTAAAATAGACAGAAAACAATCAATTTAGATCTGAGCTTTTTTATTAGACTGCAAAAATATTGAATCTTACCAAGTATTTCTAGTTTAGTTTCTAGTCAAAATGTCTTCGTGTACATTAAATAAGACAGAACTAACTTACAAGTAACTTTTCAGCAAGAAATAGAAGCCAGTTTTACATTAATAAATCCTTAAAAGTGGTGAAAAACTAGGGAGACAAAAACTACCATTGGCAGATTATTTCACTTATAAAATGGGAAAAATTTATTTTTATATGTAAAATAATCTATCTATGGAACTAGAAGTTTTTCATCACTCTTAAATAATTAATAGTAGAATTAACATTTCATTCAACTTGTTTAGATCTTTGTCAGAGCTTCAAGGGGGGACTGTAACGGTTACTTTGTGTAAAGGTCAGAGGCTTTAATCCATTAATTTCAATTAATTCATGTAGTAGATTTTAACGTATTGAAGCAATTTTTTAGACTAAATATACTAGAGAATGTCTTAATTTTTAAACACAAAGTTTGATAAGTAAATTAAAATGTCTTGATTAGAAAAGTGCCGTATTTTCTATACCAGTAACTAAAACACTGAATGTTGTTTCAAGATTTTGCCTGGAAACAAGACGGATGTGAAACTGAGATCAACCAAGATCAGGTTACCTGCAAGTGCAGCCATGCAACACCCTTTGCTGTCCTTCTGGTAACAAGGAGCTCTTCATTTGACAAAGTTCCCTTTGCTCATAATCAGTGGTTATTTCACAATAATTTTAATAAAACTATAAGAAATTAGAATAAAAGAGTATCTTGATTTCATTAATGAGATGAGAGAAATGATGGTGATTTGCACTTCTAATTTGTTTCCAAGAGTTTCTGAAAGTAAACCAGTAAGATTCAGAATCCCTGCTGGTATTTTTACCATTTTATTTTACTGTTTTATAGATACGTATGCCAATAGATGAAGCCCACTGGAAATTACTGTCATACATCAGTTACATAGGCTGTGGAATTTCTCTTTTCTTCAGCGCTTCGTCTCTCGCCGTATATGTGTTCAACAGGTAAGCATCCACCTTTAAAAAAAAATCTCAGCATCTTATAAATACTGAACATGTTTTTAACATGTTATGCATAGTTCAATAAAACAAATTAAGTTTTTCTTACTACAATACATGTGGTGATAAATTAAAAGTCAAAAGCAACCCATTGCTTCTAATTAGACTGAATAGTCTGGCTGGAGAAATATTCATCCAAAAGTGATGATGACGTCCAACTACAGGGTAAAACAGTCAGTAATTAAAAAAGGAACCCATCTAAAACTAAAAAATAAAATAAAAAAAATAAAAAAATTTAAAGTACCAGACTATAGTGTTGGAGTTCCAATCATCTTCTTCTAAACGTACATGAAGAAACGCTTAAAGTTTAATGTTACACGTTAGACCAAAGTCATGTGTTTGGTGGCAGGATGGAGCCATAGAACCAGGGCAGTGTACAGCTAGGAAACCAAATATGAACTTTTCTGTACAACTATGAAGAATTAAATGTTCTGAAGCACCAGTGAAAACCTGGTTACAAATGATATATTCAACATGATAAAGAAATAAAAATACCAACAAAAAAAAAAGAGAAATTTAACAATCTGTTCTATAATCTGCAAGTGAAGGGCGTTCAGAGCAGCAAGACGCCCAGATGAATTTACACCATGACAGGTCACCCTGAGGGCAGATTGAAAGATGTTTCAAGAAGTCCCCAAATGTCACCACGGCAACTACAGCGGGTTGCTCTTGATGGGAAAGTATGCGACTGTGCAATCAGAAAGATACGGTGGATGGAGTTGTGCAAAGAGATTAGCTCAACTAATGGAGGCAACATTTCGATAATGAGGTTATGAGCTCATTTCCTCCTGCTAGAAACACATTCTAAAGTGCTGCTAAGTCACTTTATTTTCTGGAGATAAAGAAAGTAGCTCTAATTAGATCTTGATATGTGAACATTTGGAAATAGACACCAAATGTTTATTAGTTTTCTGGTCAGTCTCATCATATTCTCACCCTTTATTTTGTTTCTCCATCTCCTCTGTTTTTGTTTCCCAGCTCAGAATTACATTTAGGAGAAATCCACTTCAGTCTATTGAATGAAGGACCGTATTTTCTTTGTTTTGTTTCTTTTCACTTGCATTGTAACTTCATAGTGAACAGGGACATTTTTTTTCTGTGGAAATCATGAACCCAGAAGTGAAACCTCGGCTTTTGTTCACTGCTTGTGCACCAGTTTCATTTCAAAGCATCTGTCCACGTCCTGTTTAATCCATCTTTGCAACACCTAAACACCAGTGAAAGTCACTCTGCTTTCAACATCTGGTATCAAACAAAAGGTGATCTGGCTTTCACAGAAACTCATTCCAAATTATAGAAAACAGCTTAGCAGAAAACTGTGGCGCCCAAAGAGACATTTAAATAACTGAAACTCATCTTTTTTGCTTTACTTTGTATTTATGTGGTTTTCAGTCAGACAGTCCGATGGATTGTTGTTGTTTTTTTTTTTTCTTTCACATTAATTGTGACAAAGTAGTCAGTGGCAAAGACTTAGTTAAACCAGTGAAGGTGTTTTTACCATGAATATTTCCTCAACGTCTGGCCTTGTTAATCAGACCAGTGTTTTTTCAAAGAAACTGTAATCTGCTACAGAGATAGAAGATAGAAATAGCCTTTTTGCTCCACAAGCTAGCGTAGTGAAATGGAAAAGTTTCTGACAAGAAAAAAAACAAAAGGAGCCGTCTGTAAGAACTGTGGAGATTAAACTAAATTTGACATATATATGACTGATAATAATATTTATAACATTTTCTTATAACCAAAGGAGATATTCCTTTTACTATAATAATATGAACATGATTGATGAATTCATAATATATTATCTACAAAACTCATTGCCAACTAAAATCAGAAGGTTTGAGGCAGCACCTATGCTGAACAAATGTAATAATTATTGAACAGTGAATAAAAAGTGAGAAAAAAATCTAAAGGTTTATGTTTCTGTACATTATATTAGCATTGTTTATGGATTTGCAAAGTGGTTCCATAGTCAGAAGCTAATTTTTTTGGGGGCCATGGCTCAGAAAAATTTGGAAACTCTGGAGTAGATCGCGTTACAGATGGGATTTGGGTTTGTACGAGTTTGACAAATGTCAACTATACTCCAAGGACACTTTAGTAAATTCTGTGTTTTATTAAAAAGCTGAAAAGTCTGTTGTTTATAACCTGTCCAATCACCGCATACTCTTACCAGATCTTGTTTTTCATCCTTCAGGAGCAACACAATGGACACTTCCATGTCCATCCACGTGTCTCTGAGCGGCGCCTTGTTTCTCCTTAACTCTACCTTCCTGCTGACTGAGTGGGGGGCCACAGTGGAGCCGGACTGGGTCTGTGAGTTTATAGCTGCGCTCATGCATTACTCACTGCTCTGCTGTTTCACCTGGATGGCCATCGAGGCCCTGCACCTCTACCTGCTGCTGATAAAGGTGTTCAACACCTACTACAAATGCTACCTGCTCAAACTGTCTCTTGTCGGATGGGGTGAGTGTTATGACACGCTAACGGGTCTCATCGGTGTGTTACGGTTCGATGCAGGGCAGGAAAAAGCAAATGACAAAAGCTTCAGGTTTTCAGAAAGGCAAATCAAAATGTGGTTTACTTGAAGAATATCTTCTTTTTGGCGACATTGAAAAAAAATCAGAGACAACACAATTTTTTTTCTCCCAATGTGCGTTTGCTTGAACATGAGCACCAGAACAATAAAAATAAAGCTGAAAAAAATCATTATAGTTAATAAAAATATCAGCATCTCTCTGTCTTTCCTGGTTTTTAATGCTCAGAGTGACTCTGTTGCAGCTGGGAGGCAGAGAAGCAGGAGCAATCATCACAAATATTTTACTGTTGTAGACAGAAAAAACATGTAGCAGAACGTAATTGTAGATGCAATTATTCACTATATGAAATGACAATATCACACAAACATGATAAATGATCCAGTGACCAGCCTGATCCTTCCGATTTACTTTGAACAGCGATGACCAAGTCTGTTCATCTAAAATATTTAGTTTAATGTGAAAAAGTTCGGTAAGCTTTGAGGGTTTTCTGGTTTTCAGAAGCTCCTCCTAATTAGTACATCAATCAAACAACAAGTCTTAATCCAAAAACAGTTTATAGGATGAGTCCTACTTTTTGTATCATACTCCCCTTTGTTATATTTAATTCATTGTACTTTATTGGTACAATGAATTAAGCCACACTGTCGTCTTTGTGTGGCTCAATTTTCCACAGCCAAATAAGGAGAAATGCATTGAAAAATGTGATAAAACCAGGAGAAGGTCTGTCCGCGAGGCGATTTGAGATATTTATAGATTCTGACAATGTGGATTTTAAGTTTTCTAATACATAAAAAAAAAAGACATGGCCATTTGAATGTTGGTGTTCATCAATTTCTGTTGTCAACAAACACTAAATTAACCAGACATTTTTGATCTGAATGTGGCGTGTACAATATTACCCATATTCAGGCCGCAAAAGGCCTGGGGAGAAGTTTGGGATTCATTTTAGAACATGCAGTGATATGATTCAAGGTTTAATACTGAGTTCATGTGAACACTGAGTTTGTGTTAGTACAACTGAATGCCCAATGTTCTGTTTTCCAGGGATTCCTGCAATAATTGTGTCAATATCTTTGTGTGTGAAGAACGTTAAACAGTTTTACGGAGTTACAGAGTTGACCATGTCAGACACCAATCAAACCAATAGCATGTAAGTAAAATATAACTTTACTTTTATTATACATTTTATTTATGCTTTTTCTTTATTTTTTGCTATTTATGTTTAGTTGTGATTATTTGTGACTATGCAACATTCTGACAACACTTTAACTGGCTGTAGGTGAATAAGGATCCTAATTTAATATATAAAGCAGTACTAAATGTCATATAATGGCTGATTTATTTTTTTTTTCCATTAATATACCTGGCACGGTAAAAACTCCATAAGATGTACATTTTTAACAGATTGATGTCAGCCTGTCTGATGATAATGTCAACATTATCCCAGTGGTTTCCTTAATCTTTCTTACAACAACAAAGTAGTTTCTGGGAAGTCAATGTGTTTTTAAAAAATCCCAATGGCAACGTATCACTTCCACAATCTATGAAGTGATACAATGTGAGTGCAAAATGTTCCATCTTCTTCCTTTTTCCTGTTACATTCAAAGACCCGCTGCTCTTAACTGCCTATTATTACCCGTCTGTCTCACAGCTGCTGGATCACAGATGACACCTACTTCTACTCACTCAATCTCGTGTATTTCACCCTGATATTCATCTTTAACTCTGGCATTCTGATGGCAGTGGCCTCAAGCATCTGCAAGATGAAGAAAATGTTAAAGACTAACTCAAAACTTCAAGCCAGTGCTAGCAGAAAGTCAAAGGAAGTTCCACAGAGGTTTAGCACATCCTGCCAGAGCGGCCTGACTCTGCTGGGCCTCACCTGCCTGATGGGGACCACCTGGGGTCTGGCCTTCCTGGGTTCTGGTTATGTCAACTACACAGTGCTCTATCTTTTCTGCATCCTCAACTCCCTACAAGGTAACAGTTGCATCTATCGGAGTGTTGTGCTTGTTAGCAGGGGTGGCTCTTGACGTAGGCCTTTTAGGCGGTCGCCTAGGTCACCAACTGTAACAGTGGGGGATGGTAAATAAAAACAAAAGCAAACCAAACAATAAAAAAGTGATGTAAAACATCAACTGCTTAGTGTCTTACAAAAAGTTAATAAAATGTAAACATCAGCGATGCCTCTGTGCTCCTGTTTGAGTCAATAGGTCTCCTTCAGCTTTCAAAGAGAATCTGCTAAAACTAAATGTCCCTACCGATGTAGTTGACAAGTAAAGAGACATTTAAATGAATTTACTTTTAGCTTTACTATTCAGAGTATGCAGATTCTACCTGACAGTCTACTCATCAGTATTAGCAGGCCGGTTCTGTTGTGCCTACTAGCTGAAGTTAATGTTAATGGTGGGACTCCATTAATTTCTTTAAGCAAGTTAACTGATTAATTTATTTGCAATGAATTACATTTAAGCAACATTTTCAAGTTTTCTGCTAAATTACTGAACAAATAGACACATGAGCTCAACTTCTAATATATTTATTGTTTTTAATCTATTTAGGTTATTTAACCTTCAGACTGGTTCAAAGTTCTATTCTACCATTTAGATTTGAAGTGTTTCAGGAACTCTTGATCAGAACTTCTTTATAGATTTTAACTGTGGAGGCCGACATTAGCATTAAGGACATCTGTGCTGCTGCTACATGTTTAGCATTGAGATGCTGTTTCAGGCTAGAATAGCTTCGCTGACAGGCTAACTCCTTTTAGCACAACTTGAACACAACAATCATCTTTTCCAGCGTCCAATCAGATCGCTTAATGAAACAAAATGAATCCGCAGTGGGAAGTGGTTAAGTAAATTGTTTAGGAAATTGTCACATCATTCTGACAAGCTTTCTCACTGTTCAAAAATGAATGCTGGAATAGGATCATAGCTCTCGGGGGGGGAATCATAATCTTGCGTAGGGAAGAGAATTGGCTAAGATCGTCTTTTCTTGTTTGAGAATAGTTCAAATTCAGACTTACCAATTTTTGCTTTCCTCTTTGTGAAGGTTTCTTTATTTTTGTGTGGATCTGTCTCTCGGCCAAGAAGCAGCGGAGGAAAGAAATGGAGCAGAAAGTGTCTTCGATCACTGCGGTGTCTTCAGACACAAAAATGGATTAGATCTCTTCTTTTAGGTCTGGATGGATCCCAGTAGATCCTCTGACAGAAATGAATCTGCATGGATGGGGAAAAAAAACTGCAAAAAAAAAAAAAAACTGCAAAAATGTCTTAAAATTAATTATTTTTTATCACAACTGGATAATTTTCTTTACACAGCCTTACAGTTAGGAGCACTTCTATAAGTTTCTATAAAATAAATGTTAGCAATTTAATACTTAATGTTTTCTTGAGCTATACAGAGGCCCATTTCTTTCAGTCACTGCTCATAAGTGGAGAAACACAGGAAACGCTTAAAACAAGAACTTGGGCACCAAAAGTTGCCCATGTCTACAGTAGGAGAAATAATTTAAAAATTTAAAACAACTCAGAGCATGACAAACATGGCTGGAAGTGAACGACACCACACACACAGAGAGCAGGAAGGTAAGAAAAGTAAAAAAAGAAAATTAAAATCTATTATTAATGAAGTTCTTCCTATTTTTCAGTGTGAGTTCAGCAACAAAAGGCACAATTATTTAACGTGTAGTACTGATAAGTTAATAAGTATTTCTATTACATGACCATTTCACATTTTACCACATTACAACCACAAGCTCTAGCTCATTTATCTTCCTTATTTTCAAATACACACAAACACGTAACTCTTCAGTTTGGTGTGTGTACTCAGCTTTCAAGAATCAAGACACTTTGTGAAACAACTTTTCATTGCAATTGCTGCTGCAACTCTTTTCACATATGTACCAGCTTTGCACATTTTTACTCAATGTTCTTTGCACAGAGCTGTAATTTAGTCCGACTGGAAGGAATGTATTTGTGAATGTGCATCTGAAAATGCATGCTACATTTTCAGACTTTGAGTTGTAAAACATTTTCATAAAACTTGTAATATTTTTGTTCCTCTTTACACTACTTTGTGTTGGTCTGTTCCATAAAATGTGTAGAAGTTTGTGTACTTTTTACGCCATGATTATGGAAAAGTTTTTATGGGTAATAATATTTAGACAAGGCACTGCACATTTATAATCCACACTCATCATACTGGAATGAAAATGTTTTCAAGTCTTTGCAAATTGTTGAATTTAGTTTTTATCCTTTTTGGGTGAATTTAAAATTATCTTAAAGTATATCCCAAAACATATGTTATGCCTTTAACTTTAGAATTTTTTTCTGAAAATCTAAGTAAAATGTTAAAAAATATATATGATTTCTTTTTGTTTTGTTGTTTTTTTTCTGCTGGGATCCTGTTGATTAGTTATGTGCAGTTAACATCCTTTCTGCCTATTTATAAAAACTCATATCTGTGTCCAATAGCCATAGTGTTGAGTTAGGATGTTTTCATACATCTTGAAAGATTTCAGCCACCAGATAGGGTTAGAGGTTAAGATGAGGGTAAGGTTTAGGCTGTAGAAATGAAAAGTCCCCACAAAGATAGCCACACAAACATGTGTGTGTCTGTGTATGTGTGTGCGTGCGGGTGTGTGTGTGTGTGTGTGTGTGCGTGTGTGATCCTGTAATGTGATTATTATTAATGAAGCTCCTGTCTTGTTTTGCATTTAGTTTCCATGTTGTGTTTAAAATAAAAAAAAAATAGTGTGTGTCACTGACTAACAGACATTTGCATGTCATTCTGTGCGTGTCTGGGTTTTCTCCAGATACTTTCACTTCCTCCTTCAGTCCAAAACCTATTCATGCAGAGCTGACTGATGATTGCGAAACCGCTGTATTGTTAGGTTTGAGTGTGACGATAGATGATCATGGGTTTGTCTTGTGCCTTCAAGCCGTTCATCAAAAGCAGTCTCCACAGAGACAACTTCCAACCAACTCTCATTGTGGTGTTATGTAGTCAGGGTGGTGAATCTTTCATAGTTGCATTTTAAAATGCAACTTTTTAAAAATATGCTTCATTTTGCTTCACAGATGAAGAGCTCCACCCCCCAAAAGGAATAAGAATTAATCTAGAATATCCAGCTGTCTTTGAAATCCAATAGTAAATTGTTGAGCACAAACAGTAAAGACAAAGTGAGTCGATAAAGTTTCATTTTTTTACTAGTTTTCTTTGAGGTAATTCCTCATTTCTATATAAAATTTTGAGACGTCCAAGCGGGCACAGTGCGGGGGAGGTGTGCTGCTGATATTGTATGATTCATTTTCTCTAGGGGTGCACCACTTACTGACGCCGATTCCTGATCTTATTTAGCTCAGCAAATATCTAAAACTCAACCACTGTCCTCTTCTGCTCTGTAGTGAGAGGTTTGACTGACAGACCGGCCCACCAGGTCAGGTCTGTGCATTTGCCGTTAATAATAACAGTGGGGTTATTACAGCATCTTTATTTCTATATTTAGCAGCATTTCAGACAAAACAAAATTAATTGTCAAATAAGAATCAACAGGTCAAGAGTTTTAAAAATATGTAATGAGAAAACTGCAATCGGTGCATCCCTAATTCTGATGTTGTTTTATACACCTTTATTTTATACTAAGCACTTCTTTCACTCCGGTTTGAGAATCCGCAGATTCTCAACCCGTCAAACGGAGGACATCATGATTCACTTTCCATACGATCAGACGGGATGACGTCTTACCACAGAATGTCTAGCAGCCCTGGTCAGTTTGGGGGAAGTGTTTGTCTGAGCTGAGGTGGCATGAACTTTTTTCAGACTCCACAGGAAGCTGCTGATGCTCATTTTCCACTCTGCGATCACAGAATATGTTAAGGGTGACAATATTTTCTGAGAAGCCACAGGATGTTTTAATATCCTAAGTTACAGCCAATTTCAACAATGATAATGAAATTACTTTTGAAATTTTATGTAGATTAGGAACTGACATCTAACTTGTAAAGTTTGTGGTCAATATGTATTGTTCTTTAAACAACTAGAGTCTTAAAACTCTCACAAAGCTTCACAAGAACATCTTTAAATAGCCATAGAGTTTATTTAGACAGAGTTCACTGTCTGGGCCCAAACCTTCATTCACAAAGAGTAAAAAAAGCTATCCAAACCAACAAATGTTAAAAAATTAATCATCTTTTTATTTTTCACATTTTTTCTCTCCAACAAATGTGTTTGTTTTCCAGACAAATTCCAAACTAAAGGCAGAATCACTTTTATCAACATTTATGGTTTTGTTACATCACAAAAACCTGACAGCTTAGCAGCCTAGTGAAACCTTGGGTAACCTCAGTTACACTTTAATATTAGCTATTAAAGTGTACAACTCAATATATTTTTTTATTTCAAGTATTTTCACTCCCTGTTTAGTACAAGCAAAACCACTAAATTTAAACTCTTTTTCTGACCCGTGTTTGTTTTGCTTCTTCTGTCAGCATTTCTTCACCAGTATGACTTGGCTCTTGCTTCTGGCAATATTTGCATAAGTGTGGGGATTTCATCAGAATTAAAATGGTATTATTTCTCTGATAATTCATTTGATCAATCTCAGAGCTCCTTGGCAAACCACTGTTTTGTTTTGGTTTGTTTTTATGTTAATAAAAAGAACTCGATAAACATAAGCCTATCTACATTATTGGTTCACTCAAATGACACAACTACTATGAATTACTTCCTCCTCTCTGCCACCTCTCTCTCAGCATGTGATCAAACTAGATGTGAAACTCTGTTTGCTGCAACAAGCAACCCTCAACCACCAGAGCAACACAGTGCCTCGATCGGTGATCAGTGTCAGTTTGAGAAAGTCCAACATGAAGTGGATTACTCTTTATCTCCTAACACTCTGCTTCCCTACGACCAGAGCCAGTGAGTATTCTGGGGTTTTGTAGTTTGAACATCAGTTTAGTTGTTAATGTATCCATCTTGGCTCAGTGGTTCCTGTTGGAAAACTTATTTTTTTGTCTGAGTGATATTCAAATTGTTAGTCAGGTTTTTCTCGTACCTCTGGCTCATTCAGTTCTCATTTTTGTTGGTAGTGAAAAGTTCTGATTTCTTTACATTCTGTGTTCATTTTACAGACTGTAACCCTAACCATATTTTAGATGATTGCATAAACCAAAATCCTGTACCGTGGCAAAGGTAAATGATGTTGTTAATACCATTCTTATGGGGTTGATTTTAAGCTCCTATTCTTGCTTCCTAACAGTTTCTTCCTTTTCCCTTTCATAAATTAATTGGGGGATATTATGTATTTTTCATTTCATAGCATAATCAAGTAACTTTGTTACCTTTAGTTGTTATAAAATGTTGTACACATCAAACATAACTTAAAAACGAAATTACTTGGCAATTTGATGCCTTGGAATTGGGCTATGTCTTTTTAGAGTAGTATTATGTATTTTCCAACCACATACAATAATGTAATAGCACATTCAAGTAACTATGTTACCTTCAGTTGTTATAAAATGCTTAATACATCAAATATGACGTAAAAGAAATTTTTATTCGTAATTTAGTGCCTTGAAATTGGGCCTCTGTCTCTTCATGAAAATCCTGCTCTTTCCAACACTCTACCTTCAGGAAGTCATCAGCTCCACTATCAAAGTTCTTTTACCATCGATTCACTGACAAATAGCTCTTATAATGAGCTCAGCAGACGTGCAGTTCCACCCAGTGTTTGCTAATTGTTGCTACGGCTAGTCTAATGGAGCTGTGTGGGGGAGGGTGTGGAAGCTCGGCTGGGGACTGAGCTTTGGGTAAAGAGGCTGTGTGTTATATGAGCAGGTGTTCAGGCAACCCCAAATGGTTGCTATGGGAGATTAAAGGATTCCTCAAACATGCATGAAATAATTAAGGTAATACTCTGGATATGTTTTTAATTAGGGGAATAACATTATAACATGATGTATAGCTCAAAGAAGTCAAATTTGCAAAATATCCCCCACATTCCTTCAATATTGTTGTAAATATGTGCCTTTTTTGAAACATCTCCTGGTAGGTGCTATGACAATAAAATTACGGCGTGCAAACCAATTGGTCGTTCCCATGGGTTTGTTAATGTCGACAAGAAAGCATCAGAACAGGTGAGGTGATCAGAGGTAAAACTTTTATCTGGGAAGCATCAACACATGAAAATTGATTGTTGTTTTTGTTTGTTTTGTTGTTGTTGTTGTTGTTTTTTAAGAAAGTGACACATTTTAAGCATTTATTTCAGTTTATTTTAATGATTAGGGATTACTGCTAACAAACCCCCCAATGTTTAAGATAATTCTAACCAATAAAAAAGTTTTTTATTGGTGTATATTGGTTGGTTTGACTGTTGGTTTTAGTGGTGGCCAACCTCAAAGTATGTGATTGTACCATACAGTATATACACCTACTAGGTCGAGTTCCAAGCATTGCATGGAAGTGATCAACTTCTGATTCTGCTGAGGTGTTAAGGAATCCCATATTGTTTTCAACTTGTCTTCATTGTTGGGTCTAGTACCTCATCTTCCTCCTGACAGAACCATGTAGACTCCATTGGGCTCTAGTAAGGCCAGTATTCTGGTCACCATAATGGTTCTTTGGTACATTTGGTAGTATGGGTAGGTGATAAATCCTGCTGAAAAATGAAATCAGCATCTCCATAAACATTGTCAGAAGCAAAGAAGCAAGGGATGCTCTAAAACTTCCTGCCAGATGACTCTGAACTTGATCAACATCAGTGGACCACCACCATCAGTGGACCACCACCATCAGGTGACGAAGACTTAACACCCCTATTTGTGACAGTCATCCCAAACTCTGACCTTGATTTCCTCAGTGAAAACTTTACTTTCACATGAAAAGAGAAGTTTGGACCAGTGAGCAACAGTCCACTTCTTTGTTCTTCTCATCAAAGGTATAAGTGTTGTCTCTAGTACTGGTGTTTAACAAACTGAATGTTGTAGCCCATATCTTGGATAAATCGGTGTATAAGGTGACTTTTAAACTCCTGACTCCAGCATCACTCGATGTCTTGTGAGTTTTTGCCAAACTCCTATTTCCTTCCTTCCTTGTGAAACTTTTTTTTCTTTTCCATTAACATTGAAGGAGATAGAACTTGTTCAGCTGTGGTCACTGACACCAACCATGTCTTTATGGTTGATGTCAGTGACCGAATACTGAAAGTGTCCAGTCAGAGGTCTTTCTCATGATTATGAAGGTCACAACATTTCTGTAAATGTCCAATGTTCTGAGAAACTGAATGATGGGTTTCCATGAGATGTAAGACATAAACATCAAAATGAACAGTATATGCATGAAAAGAAAATATACAGCTGAAACCAGAATTTTACTTACACCAAATTAAGACACATACTAGTATATCTAAATAAAATTAAAATGTTGTGTAAAAATGCAACATTTCATGCCAGTTACCTCATAAATTTAACTTATATATTATGTAAAGCAGTGGTAGAGAATGTACTCAAAAAATTTACTTAAGTAAAAGTACAAATACACAGACAAAAATGTACTCAAGTAAAAGTACCACATTAACATTTAATTAAGTAAAAGTTAAAAATACTGGCTTTTAAAAATACTTAAGTATTAAAAGTAAAAGTACTTTCTGGATAATACCTAATTGCTAATATCATTAAGTGTACTGATCATATTTAATTTTAATACATCAGTAATGTGCCATTTTAATGAACAATGCCACAGATAAAGCATGTTTTTATTGTGTTTACTCTTTGTAACATAGCTTAGACTTAGATATGTGATTCTATGCATCATAATTTAAGGGATGGAAACATCTTGTCTCCTGTCCTAACATAGCATGAACTTCACTTATTTTTGCCACTAGTGGCATTTATTTTGAAAGAAATCCAACTGGCAGGGGAGGACATGGAACCAAGGAGCCACATAGAAGAGTTGTAATCTAGACCACCGAACATGAGACCAAGACAAGACAAAGACCAGCACCCCGCGCTACGTGACACAATGAAATCAAGGGCACCTATCAAAATTGCTTCTCAAATTGATGTGAAAGATCCACAATCCTACAAAAACACCTAGATATGAAATACTTAGAGGTGAAATAAATTTAAGCAGTATCAATTCAAACTCTTCTTCATTCCGATTTGCTTTCATCTCTGTGCCACAATACACAGAGCTCTCCTGCCACCCTAAGAAAAAATAACGCCCTGGGTGGTTGTCCATATTGCCAATGTCAGAAACCACAACTGTCTGCACCATTAAAC